TCTTTATCATTTCTCTCATTATGGATTTCAATTTGGATCTGAATTCGAATCGTGACAAACATGGATTTTTTTTTTTTTTTTTTATTTTTCAGAATTTTGTTGATTTTGTTTGAGAATTGTTACAATGCAGATTCAATTTTGATTCCGTTTACCATTTTGTTGCTCTTTTAGTGAATTCTGGAATTTTTTTGTTTAGTTCCAAGCAGAAATAGTTTAGGTTTCATATAATTCAGTCATATTCTTTGTGTTTCTCCATTTTATTTTGTCTCCTTAGGAAATGACGTATCTTGCTTCCATTTCGGCCATGGATTTTTTCTTTGTTTTAGGTAGATACTAAAATTCAAAAATAAAAACAATGACCCTTTGTTATAAAATTTTGTTGAAGGAAACTCCAGCAGTCCTTTCTTTGAGGACTGGATTTGTTCTTTTGCTGTGTGGTCCTGAAAATCTTTCATTTCATCTGCGATTACAAATGCTGTCCAAACAAAACTGTGCTTGGTTAGTTGTCATGATATTTAGATCAATGAGGTTTAGTTTAGCTTTCATTTTGTGGTTTTAAGCACATCTCTTACTAGAACAGCAAATCTTTGTACCTATCATAAGATAGATACATATTCCACATACTGTTGATATTTAAGAACTGGCTAATAGTATATGTAATTTGAAGGTTCTCCGTCGTGCTGCATGTTTCTTTACTTTTATTTTTCTAGTCCTTATTTACTTGCACAACAAAAGTCAATTCTTTAGTTATAGTTATACTCACTTGGGGGAAATTATAAATAAGATTTATATTTATTGAAGAGAGTTTTCAATTGTTACACACTGCTTAAGGTGAGCTAAGTGAGTAAAAGAGTATATGTAGTGGAATGAACGTATCTAGTTCTATGTATCTCCCCTCCATTTATAGCATGTGTCCTTGACTGTTACACTGCCTTGGCAAGAGTTCAACAGGTAGTTGGAACACATCCTCCACTACCTCCTAGTGATACAGATGATTTGTGGACAACTTTTGGTATTCTTGTAACATTCTTGATTCTTTGCCAAACGCCATTCTTGGGTTGAGTCCTCTGAGCTAGATTGAGACCACTGCTTGGACTGACTTTCATGGGCCACAACCTTTGGTCAGATCCAATGTGCCTAGATTGGGCATTTAAGAGAGTTTCAAGCGCACTATGGTCCAACTTAGATACTTAGATTGGGCCATGATAACCTACGCTAGCCAGAGCAAGGAAGTAGATAATATTTTGCAACTCCACTGAACCCCATCAGGTTGCCCTTAGTTCTGATGACTTCTTATTTTCCTCTTTTTTTTTTTTTTTTTCTTCCTTTTCTTTCTTCTTTCCTTCTTTCTCTCTCTCCTCCTTCCCCCGTCTCCCCCACCCACACACCCCATGGGCTATGTCTTTGGTCTCAGGAGCCTCCCCCTTGACTTTGGCTAAGTTGCTCATGCAAGTCACCTAAATGCTTGTTCCTTGGGATTGACCATTGTCTGTACCCACCAATGTGTCATTAGGTTTTCCTTTGCATGTACTGTGTTTTATGATTATTGTTAAAGGCATATGAACTTTTTAATTAGCTCCCTATAGGTGGTGTTAAATGATAGTATCAAATTCACTTAGGGAAATTGTAAATAAGATTTATTTTTATTGAAGAGAGTATCAACTATTAAAAAGACTTTATGCAAGATTGCAAGCTAAGTGAGTATGCGAGTATCTGTAATGGAATGGATGTATCTAGTTCTATGCATCTCCCTTCCATTTATAGCATGAGTCATTGATTGTTAAACTTCCCCTAGCAAGAGTTCAGCAGGTAGTTGGAGCATGTCTTCCACTACCTCCTCATGAGTGCCATGACCATTACAGATGTTAGTGGTATGAATGTTGGTATTCTTGTAACATCCTTCACCAAATGCCTTTTCCTGGTTGAGTTCTTTGAGTTAGACCAAGGCCACCATTTGGGCTGAATTTCACGGGCTGCAACCTCTGGTCAAATACAAGGTGCCTAGATTGGGCTTTTGAGTTGGATCTCAGTGCACCTAGGCTAAACTGAGATACTTAGACTGGGCTGCGATACTCTATCTGAGTATCTGGGCTAGTTGGGCCCATTATCCCATCATTTAGAAATGCCCAGTAGAGGGAAAACTTATAGTCTTTCTTTTCTAGGTGAGGATAGATAGGTAGGAGAGGGTGATGGGTGATCTCAGTTGGATATAGATGATAAGAACATTGTTTTAAAGCTATGCAGTTTGAAGATGGCATTTGAATATTTTTGGGATCTAATAAGTACTAGAAAACTTCTGCAACACCTTGCAAATGACATTCAATTAGGTTCTAATTTTTCACTTTTGATACGTGACTCTATGTAACTTCTCATTTCTATTTTTAACAAGATCGTAATCCGGATTGTATATGAAAAGCCATGTAGTTGTCACTCCATTAGAGGTTCCAGCCTGTCTATTAGCTAGAACTTGTTCCTTTTCCAGATAATGCGTTAGGCCGTTTCTTCGCTTTACTTTGTGGCTATTTCCATTTTAGACGTTCACTCCACCGCTCCCCCACCACCAAAGTATCGTGCAACTGTGCATATGTGATGTGTCAATGAATGAGCAACATACTTGCCGTAAGAAAAGAGATCAAGCCGTAGATCTTTATTTCTCGTTTACAGATGTCAATGCATAGTTCCGTAACTGTGCATCTTTCTTCCTTGCTGCTAGGATAAATATTGATTGAAGAGAGCCCATTTCGAAGTGTGCTCTTTGTTTCATTCTATATATCTTATTATATTATACTGAAATTGTGATCCATCTTTATCAGCAGAAGCATAGATCTGAGAATGAGGGCACTTATTCTTGTTGGAGGATTTGGCACTCGGTTGAGGCCATTGACTCTCAGTGTCCCAAAACCACTTGTTGAATTTGCAAACAAACCCATGATTTTGCATCAGGTACTTTCATGGATATGCTGTTTCTCTGGATCCATCTTCAGTCATGTTATAAAAGTTTTCTAATTTCTAAATGAAACCGTCTGTTTTTTTTGTTTTTCTTTTTCCTGTTTCCAAATATTATGCTTTCTGGGTAACTAACCATTTTTTCTTATTATCAGATTGAGGCTCTTAGGGCTGTTGGAGTGACTGAAGTGGTCCTGGCTATCAACTACCAGCCAGAGGTCAACTTTTCTTTGATGTCTATAGGTGGCTTCATTCAATGGATGATATAAAATGGGGAATAAACTAATGCTACATCATCTTTATATTGCAGGTGATGATGAACTTCTTGAAAGAATTTGAAACAAAGCTTGAAATCAAGATTATGTGCTCACAAGAGACTGAGCCACTTGGTACTGCTGGTCCCCTTGCTTTGGCTAGGGATAAACTGATAGATGATTCTGGTGAGCCATTTTTTGTGCTAAATAGTGATGTTATCAGTGAATATCCTTTCAAAGAGATGATTGAATTTCATAAATCCCATGGAGGAGAGGCTTCTATAATGGTAACCAAGGTAAATCCCCAATTGCATACCCCTTTTGCTTAGATATTTTATTTGGATGATTGGAACTTATTTAGCATTTAATGTGAAAAATTATACTCATTTATTGAAATAGGTGGATGAACCTTCTAAGTATGGTGTTGTTGTGATGGAAGAATCCACTGGGAAAGTAGAGAGGTTTGTGGAGAAGCCAAAGATATTTGTGGGCAACAAGATCAATGCTGGGATTTACCTACTTAACCCTTCAGTCCTAGACCAAATTGAGTTGAAACCAACGTCGATTGAGAAAGAAGTGTTCCCCAAAATTGCAGCCGAGAATAAACTCTATGCCATGGTCTTGCCAGGTTTCTGGATGGACATAGGACAGCCAAGGGATTACATCACTGGCCTGAGACTCTACCTCGAATCTCTGAGGAAGAAATCTTCACCTAAACTGGCTTCTGGAGCTCACATCGTTGGAAATGTCCTAGTGGACGAGACTGCCAAAATCGAAGAGGGATGCTTGATAGGACCAGACGTTGCTATAGGTCCAGGCTGTGTGATTGAGTCAGGGGTTAGGCTCTCTCGCTGCACTGTCATGCGCGGGGTGCGAATCAAGAAGCACACGTGCATTTCAAGCAGCATTATCGGTTGGCATTCCACCGTTGGGCAGTGGGCTCGGGTGGAGAACATGACCATTCTCGGAGAGGATGTGCATATCTGCGACGAGATTTACAGCAATGGAGGTGTAGTTCTCCCCCACAAAGAAATCAAATCCAGCATCTTGAACCCAGAGATCGTAATGTGAATCATCCATCATCTTTCATTATATATAAAACACCACCCTGGTTCTGTTTTTTTGGATTACTTCATTTTCTCAGTTGTTCTGAATATTTCTTGATGTTGTTCATTTTGTTGTAAAAGTGGGTTGAGAAGTATAGTCCATGGCTGGCTTGTTGGTTTTGATTTTTGAAATGTGTAGTTTGTATGTATTTATAGAAATGAATCGTTTTCGCGTCCCTTTTCTTTTATCTGGTCTGGGAGTGAAGACTGCAAACTTAAAGGGACATTTTCACTACTAAACTCCTGATTTTTATTTTTTCAAATTGATAGAGTGTTTGGTAAATAGTTGTTAGCGGCAATTTATATCGTGTACCAGGGTGTGCATTGCATTACGACGTCGTTTTTTTTTTTTTTTTTTTTTTACAAATTTTTCTTTCCAGGTGTTGGCTGTTAATTTTTATTTTATTTTTTATTTTTATTTTATTATAAAATCTCATGTTTTAAAAATGTACATAATTATCATAATTGTATAAAAGAATGTACATAATTGTATAACAAAATACACATACTCTTTTTTGAAAAGACAATACACATAATCTAACATAATACACCTAAACTTTTAACATAATACACATAAACTCTTAACATAATACACATAAACTCTTAACACAATACACATAAATTCATTGTTTCGGATGTACATAATTGTATAAAAAAATGTACATAATTGTATACCATAATGTACATAATTGCGTCAACTTCCTACACAACTTAACAAAACGACGTCGTTTTGAGAGGCGCGAGGCGCACAATGCTGTGTGCTCTGTGGTGCAGGGTATAACGACATGGCATACAACGGCATGGCCTGCGCCACCGTTTTTAGGAGAATCTCTTTTCCCGCCTGGGACAAGAATTTTTTATTCCATGCACCGATCCGGCTGACAAGCTTCTCCTCAAAGTAAGCGAAAACCGCCCTCCGGTTTCTCCCCACTACGGAAGGTAACCCCAGGTACCGGCTAATATCATCCGCCTGATTTACCCCCAAAAGATTCGCCACCTGCGTCCTGGTTTCAACCATCGTGTTCCGGCTAAAACTGATGTTGGATTTTTCAAAGTTAACCGATTGGCCAGACAACTCTTCATACTCCCGCAAACACCTCCGCTTCCTGACTGTTCACCTTAAAGAACAGCAAACTGTCGTCAGCAAAAAAGAGATGAGACACCGGCGCCGCCCCCCTCACTACCCTGCACCCATGTATCCCTCCTCTGTCCTGGACCCGCTGTAGCAGTAAGGATAAGCCCTCGACACAAAGAATGAACAAGTAAGGTGAAAGAGGATCACCCTGCCTGAGCCCCCTCGTCGGAACCACCTCCCCAACCACATTACCATTGACTGTGATGTTATATTTGACCGTAGTCACACATAACATTATGAGTTGCACCCACCTCTCCCCAAACCCCAAACCCCAAACCCAATAACATGCGGTTGAGAAACTCCCACTCCATTTTGTCGTATGCCTTGGCCATGTCTAACTTCAATGCTGCCCACCCAACCTCCCCCGTCGTTTTCCTGCGTAAATAGTGCCTCACCTCCGCCGCCACCAAGATGTTATCAGTAATCAGCCTCCCCGGTAAGAACGCACTCTCGGACTTCGAGACAATGTGTTTGAGCAGATTCTTCATCCGGTTAGCCAACATCTTAGCCATTACCTTGTAAACCACATTACACAAGGCAATGGGTCTGAGATCAGAAACCAACTCGGGGACCTTCTTTTTCGGAATGAGAACAATGTTCGTCGTGTTTAGTTCCGAAGGAAATTGACCCGTTTCGAGGCATCCCAAGAAAAATTCAGTTACATCCTTCCACACCACCCCCCCCAAAAATTATGAAAGAATCCCGGGTTCATACCATCCGGACCAGGGGCCTTATCCGAAGCCATAGCAAAAATCGCCTCACGCACCTCCTCCGCCCTAAACGGCCGTAATAGCTCTATATTCATATCCCCTGTCACACGTAGCCGAAGGTTGTCAAAAAAATTGGCACCACGGCAACCCCCAGATGTGAAAATCCCCTCATAATAACGCACCACCAAGGAATCCAGCTCTTGACCTTCCACCCAGCTACCCTCCCCATCCCTGAGTTTTAGCGAACGATTCTTCCTCTTTCTATTAGACACAGAAAGATGGAAACACCTGGTGTTCCTGTCCCCCTCCCTCAGCCAGTGCTGTTTGGCCCTTTGTTTCCAGTACATATCCTCCTGCTTCAACAATAACTGTAATTCGTCATTTAACTGGTTAAAAACCCCCAACTCTCGAGCCCCTGTTCAACCCCTGAGTGGCCTCAACTGACGTCGTATCACCTCAATCCTCTTGCCAAACCGATGGCACCGTTCCCTCCCACCCCCCACCCCCAACTCACCAGACGCTCCCCACACAAGGCTAGTTTCTCATGTAAACTCCTATTCCCTGTTTCACCCCAGGCCTCCCTCACCACCCCTCCACATTCCTCGTCCAGTAACCAGGCATTTTCAAACCTGAAACCCTTATGTCTCCTCACCTCTCGAGTTTCATACACATCCAAAAATAGCGCAGCATGATCGAACATATCGGTTTCTAAACAATAGACCCGAGCTCCCTCATGAAGACCCCTCCACTCCCCATTGGCCACCACCCTATCCAACCGCTCTTCTATCCAGTCCACAATTGTAACACCCCTAAATTTTAAAACTTTTAATGCTTATGAAATAAAGGCAATTCTATTACTAAATCCCAAACAGAGCATAACTAAACATAATTGTTGGGGAGCTATGCCACATCTGAGCTGGAGAATTCAGATGCACAGGCTAAACTTTCTGAACAACAAAAATCCAAATCAATGTCATAGTACAACATCAATGCACGTAGGCCGATAAAAGAACTAATCTAGCTAGGTCCACGGGTCCAACTAGCGCGCCCCGGAGCTACTCATCTGTGCCAAAAAGCTAAATATATCTGTTCAGCGAATAATGATGGTAACCCACTCCAACGCGTTAAATACAATATAGGTAGATATATATATGGAAAATCATTTTGAAGCCGGAATACAAATATACTTATGAAACTCTAGTTTAAAATCGAGGATAGACTCAATCAAGCAAAGGTAGGCACATTCAATATAATTAATCACACACATAAAGATTCTAGCATGCACCCTAAGGTCACAAGACTATTCCATATCAATCATATCAGTATTCAATCAACCACGATAAATCACGTTTATACATTTGATGGTGCCGCAGGACCCTTCACGTGCCCATACACGAAGTGTTAGTGCATATAGCTCTGGCATGGCCCCGAAGCACCCTGCCTATACCGCAGCACAAGGAGATTGATCGCAACCAATCGATGAACCGCAGCTCATTATATCATAACGTTTGATCGCAACTAAACGGTGGACCGCAGCCCGATGATTATGTATATCTGATCGCAACCAGATTATGGACCGCAACCCTATATATATATATATATATATATATATATATATATATATATATATATATCTAGTATACTAATAAGAGCCCAAGAGAGTTAGGCCTATAATGGGTAGAAAAAATGGCGGTCACATATTTTAATCAAATGAATGGCTCAGATTAATTAAAAGATTGATCAGGTTTAAATTTTACACTAAAATTTCCTAAAATACCCACACACCGTTACTAATTTCGTTAAAATTTTAAGAATTGCCGTTAGTTCACCGTTAACTTACTCATTGATTTCAATAAAAAAAGGTCTTAGGTTCGAGCCTCATCCCAATCAAAGTCACCGTTAATTTACTCATTGATTTCAATAAAAAAAGGTCTTAGGTTCGAACCTCATCCCAATCAAAGTTGGCATAATTAGTACTCTATTTTACTCTTATTAAATTATATAAATAATAATTTAGTAGTTACAACAAAAAATAATACATATGCATTTCTTTAATTTAGAATTATGTGTCCACAATGCCTTTATTCAAAAAAAAAAAATTATTCATTATCAATCAATTAAATAAGAGAAATAATTTTATTAGTTATATTGTCTTTATTTTTCTTCAATATAAAAATTCTTTATATTCAAATTTATTAATTGATTATATTCGCTACATTATCCTTACAATGTCTTTATTCATTGAAAAAAATTTATTAATTATCAATAAATTAATTAAAAGAAATATTTTCATTAGTTATATTGTCTTTATTTTTCTCAAATGTAAAAATTTTTACATTCAAATTCATCAATTGATTATATTCACTACATTATCTATTATCTTTTTTGTGCACTATTTTTCTAATTAAATATCAAAGTTATAATACAAAATAATGCTATATATTTATTTGCCAAGTATTTTATTAATACCATGAAAAAATTAAAAAAAATATAATTAATAAAGCCAATCATATTAACTACTTGAGAGATTTTGTGACAACGAGAGTATTCAAATCACACAATAAATTGAAGTGAGAACTACCTCGCAATGTCCTTGTTTGACAATCAGCAGTTAGCGGTTAGCGTTAGCGGATTATACTAGCGGATTTGACCAGCGAATTTATTTAATTATTAACATTGGGTAGAAAAAATGACTGCCAAATTATTAAATAAAATGAATGGTTCATATTGTTCAGGTTTTAATTTTTTCTTTTAAGATTTTCTAATTTATCCTTAATTATATGATTATCCATTTAGCTTTTCCGTTAATTCACCGTTAGTCTAATTCTAATATTAAAGTCTAATATAGAATTATAACTACACCATTAATCTAATTCTAATATTAAAGTCTTAATAGAACTTAACCACAAATCCTAATGTCGGAATCTCCTCAAACAATATTAGTATATATTTAATATTTTATGTCCTAATTTTTATTTGTTCTCCCTTATGTCCCGTATTTGGTTTCAACCATACCTATACAATTATTTTATTGACAATTATAATCAATCTTGACTATATTATCTTGCATTTGTAAACTTAGAATTACCTATTTAACCTGCACGGGCTTAGCTCAATGGTTTAGTGGGTAGTATTTGGAAGAAGAGACGAAGGTTTGAACCTCGGCGGCTGCAGTGCGGGAATTATGTCCAAAGTGGGCAGATTCCTTGTGTGTATCAGCATTTGGCCCTGTCTGCTGAACCATTGAGTCACCGTGATTTACAACTTCCCACAATGCTCTGTCGGGTCGGAGTGTGGGGGACCTTGGGGTTGGGGACTCAACCTTTGGGAGAAGAATTACCTATTTAAATACGCAAATTCAACCTTCAATTATCTATGCATGAACAATTTCAATATAATCCTGCCTTAATATACTTTATAGTACTTATTTAAAAAAAAAGGCATTGGACATTATCCCAATCGCGCAATGCGCGTAAAAAACTAGTATATATATATATATATATATATATATATATATATATATATATATATATATATATATATATATAACACCCGATGGTTCTCAACCCATCTAACTGCCTATATAGCCAATTGATTGCAACCAATTGGGGTATCATGCACAATTAACACATAAGCCAAGCACATGCAACCCACATTAACACATAAGGAGGGGGGAATCATTGGGGAACACTTATCCTTATATAACTTATGCGTGGCCAACCACATTAAACTACTCGAGACACGCCTAAGGGGTCATGCACCTTCCTCCTAGGCCAACGGAATACCAATTCGACTAGCATGCAATACATAAGACTCTTCCATCCTAAGAATGGTACCCGATACATCAACTAGACTCATATACGACAAACGGGGTACAATGGGACGCGGGGACACATTAAACGGGGGAAAACATCGTGACTCACACCGAAATTCCAGCGGGTGGAGGGCTACCCGCCGGCGGCGAGTCACAAGGCAGCGGGTGCCCGACGGGCAGTCGCCTGCCCGCCGGCTGCCCGCTGGCAAGAGGCGTTGGGCAGCGGGTAGGTGGCGGGTACCCCTGCCCCCACTTACCCCCCACTGACTCCTATGTAATAAATTGGTCCCGGGATCCCTCGTGGAACCCGAAACCATGTCCAGACACATTTAAACACAAACGACGACACCACGTAATCAAGTAACGGATTAAAATCAAGAACCCCACCAAATACATTCTAACACGACTCCTAAACATGCCAAGACTCAACACCCGAACATGCAAAATCCCACCCAAACATACCAGGAATAACACAACACGAAATCCACGTTTTAACCCTAGGGCTCTAGTCATAATTAAAACACAAGATCACTTATATAATTTATCTTAGAATCAAGAACATCAAGATTATCACATAAGTATCAAGATTAACACATAAACATCAAGATCATCCCATAAACATCAAGATTATCTCATAAACACCAAGATTATCTCATAAACACCATATCAATCTCAGGCAAAGCCTTATCAAGACGCAAGCACAGAATCATATATCAAGGAGCCAATGAAGAAGATTATAGCAAGGAAAATAGGTTTTGTTGAGACATGGGTTACCTCTTAGCCTTAAGTAGAATCCTTGGCTACTAAGGTTCTTTCTCTAAGATCTCCTCTTCGTGATTTCTCCTACGTTTGGTGGTAGGGAAATTCTTGGGAATTCTTGTGTGGTGGAATCTATTGTGGTGGGATTTGTAGGTGCCTCCTAGGTCCTTATATATATTTAAGAGTCCTAACTAAGGTTTGAAAGGTAAGGATTCACTTATTCTATTCCTTATAGGACTAAGGTTTTGGTTTAGAGATAAGGGTCCATGATCCATGGTGGACCCCTTCTTAATTAATTAAGGGAATTTAAATCTCTTTTAATGGCAAGCAATTAAATAATTAGTCTGGGTTAGAGGCCGTAACACGGGGTGTTACAACAGTCCCCTTCCCCCGCCCCCATGTGAAAGGATATCCCAACGTGGGCAAACTACTCAATCCACAATACTCCAAAGTTTCCGAAAACCCCTGTAACAGGCCCACGGGATGTGGTCTACCCCCCTCTTCTCCGCCTGGGATTCTAAATAATTGAAATCCCCCACCATGACCCACGACAACCTTGATCTACCACCCAAACTTCTTAACAGCTGCCAAGCCTCTCTTCTCCGTCCCCTGTCCGGGAACCCATAATAGCAAGTTAGCCCCCATCTCTCCTCCCCCTCACCTCTAAATCAATATGATTCTTACTATAGCTTAACAGACTCGCCATATTATTCGTAAACCACAACAGTGCAAAACCCCCACTCCGTCCCACATTATCTACATGAAATAAACCCTCAAATCCTAGTTTCACCCTCAGTCTTTCTGCATGATCTCTGTTTACCATTGTTTCCATTAAGTAAATAAAGTCGGGTTTCTTAACGGCGGCAAGAGCCGCAACCTCCCGAACTGTCCGTGGATTACCCAAGCCACGGTAGTTCCAACTCAACACACTCATTGGGCACGGCGGTCCTGAGCCTTAGGACCCGCCAAAACAATGAAAGACCACTATCCCCCATAACCACATCTGCCTGTGGTTCCCCATCTCCCCGACGCCAACGAGACACCGGCTTCTTCCTCACCAGCCCCTTTATCACTGCCCGAACACCCCAATACCACACCTACCTTCCCGTTCACCCCTCCTAGTTTTCAAACTCGTGACCAGCCACTGGTCTCCAACCTCCCTTCCATCCCTGCCACTGCCCGCCCTCATACAACTCCCAATGAGAATGTGTCGGGTTCAACAACTGCCTCCCTCACGAGAGCACAGAAGCGATCAATGTGGCTAAGAATGCCACAATAAAAGCAGAATCGATGTAAACGCTCATATTTAAAAAAGATCCAGGACCACATACCGTCACGGCGTATGAGTTTCATTCTACGTTTCACCGGTTTGTGTACATCTAAAGCCACTCGAATTTGGAAAAAGCTTCTGCCTAGTCCCGTGTTCACCGCATCCAGTTTCTTGAAACGGCTGACGTAATTGCCGATCTATTCGAGGATGGGATCCGCCGTGTAGCCATATGGTAGGTCGTAAACCTGCACCCATATCGGCAGTTCAAACAAAGCCACCGACGCTGGAATGTCTATGGCTTCTAGCATGGCACACACCAACGATGAATTCTCAAAAGCCCAGGGCCCTTGTTCGAGAACGAATCGCGCATCTGACTCCAGGTAAAATTCAAAGAGGAATAGGTTGGTCTGAACCTCCACCACCTTGACTCCCTTCGCAGGTCTCCAGGACGCCGCCATCACCCTCTTCATGGTGTCAAACTTCACCGCCCGATCTGTAAGAAACCGGCCGACGAGAGAACACGCCCTCTCCTCATTTGTTACAGGCGGATCGACTCCCTCCACTGGCGGTATGCCACTCTCCTCGTCCTCCAGCGTGATGTCGGACCATCGGTTAGTGATATCGTCCATGTTGACGCGCAGACAGAGTAGACAGAACAGGACAATCGTACACAGTGAGTATAGAATAATCGTAAACAAAGAGAATAGATCATGATCGGACATGCATGGAAACACCCCATTATATATCTTGGGAGGGAGAAACCCTTATCTTAGGGAGAGAGAACGTGCGACGTGCATCGTGCGTATAAAAAAATGTATAGTAGAATACATGATTCTATTACTTTTACCAAATTTCACTTTTTCTTTTCTTATAAAATATAAATATATTTTGAAATAAATTTGATTGATTTAAAAAAAAAAAATTGTTCCTTAGCCAAACCAACACAACACCTTTATCCACATATGTAACTTTAAATTCGGACAAGAATTTTATTTCATGTGTAGCATAATATGTTCTTGCTAGTTTTGTTGTTGTTGTTGTTGTTGTTGTTGTTGTTATTATTATTTTTTGTTTTTTTTTTTTTGGGTGAAAGGAAATAGTAATCACTATTTGAGGGTGTAGATTGAGTACCGACCAAACTCAGTGTTTATTGTTGGTTTGATTTCTAAATAAGGATTATCATTATATATATATATATATATATATATATATATATATATATATATATATATATATATATATATATATATATATGGTAGGATATATCCCGACCGACACAACTCGGATTTTCTCGTTCTTTGTGCAGGTTTTACAGGTCGGACATTCTTAAAGGAGTGACGGTCGGACCCGACCGGCGGACTTCCCGACCAGGGTTTTATCAGCCGTTCGGTGGGCCTTATCTTACGAAGAGTCAAGGATCTCGAGAAGAGGCACGTGGCAGTGTTACACGTTGACAGAGAGGGCTTGCCGGGTGAAGACGCGTGGAGGCTACGTGGGTTACATGCCGGCCGGCCGGAGATGTGTCTCCGGCCTAGAGGCTATAAATACCCACGGCGGCTACAGTGAGAGGGACTTTTGGACGATTGATAAATTATCTACAGAGCTGCCCGACCGCAGTCAGTCGGCTCTCGGGATAATCACTTAGATTATATTAGGTCCTTCTTGATCAATAAAATAGCTCTATTTGTTATTATTTGATCTCCTTTAAGTACTTGGACTGCTTAACACATGGAATTAGTACTTTCATTTTGGCGCCGTCCGTGGGGACCAGGTACGAAAGCTATCGTAAACGAGTACCATATCCTTCTTATCACCATGTTTCCGTTCATGTACCAAGCACCCGAGGATGAGCAAGCGGACGCAGCAAGTTCATCCGACCACCAACGTACACAGTATCAAGGTCAGACAGTTGACCTGAACCTCAACCTATCACCACCACGATCGGCGGGCCCGAACCCGGTTAATTATATTCAACCAGTGTATCCAACGCCCGGGCAACAATATCCGTTCCCGGAGAGTTATCCATATCCGGTTCCACCTCCTTAATATGGGTGTTGTCATGGGACACAAATGTATTATCCACCACCAACCGGTTATCCGCAATTTATGCCTGCGTACACGGCTCCAGCTTCCGCTCCCCCGAACTACCCGACCATGCTGACTGAGCCGGAGCTTCAGCCCGCTCCCCGGGCTAGACGCTCGGATCGTTCGAGGTTGGGGTCGCAGGGGGCTGAGGTCATGGAGGAACCACGGTAGGCTCCACATGTTCAGCCGGAAACACACGCTCAGGTGGCTGAAGACCCTGAGATAGAAGCCAACCGGGCGATGGCATTCGAGCGGCTCCGACCAGCAATGAGGTAAAGATTGGGACCGCAGGATCCGAACACGCGCTTGGTTGATTCTCCCATGCGAGCGGCCAGTCAATTGGGATCGTCAGGACACAATGGGCCTCAAGCGCATCGACGACGCCGGGCTCGGGAACCGGCCCGCACGGTCGACCAAGACGAGACCCGAGGAATGTTAAACGATCTTCGCGCAGAATTTACTCGCTGGCAGAACGAGCACGCCTCAAGGCCTCCTCCCGATCATACCGCTTCATTATTGCGGACACCCTTGACGGCGGAGATCATGGCTCAACCCTACCTACTTGATTTGCGAATCCCCGGAAACAAAGAATATGACGGCCGGACAGACCCGGAGGTGCACGTCAACACTTACTATGGAAATATGATGATGATGGGAGCGACTGACGTCGTGATGTGCCGAGCCTTCTACTCGACGCTTTCTAGTCGAGCGGCCGAGTGGTTCAGGACCTTGCAACCGGGATCCATATCTGATTTCGCCAGTTTGGCGACCAAGTTCATGCGAAAGATTATCACTTCCAAAGTTATCCGGAAGCCTTACATTTATCTTGAGAGGGCTAAGCACCTAGAAGGAGAAAGCTTTACCGAATTTCTAGTCAAGTGGAAGGCGGCGGTCAGGGAGGTCGAGCCAATGGACGACCTGACGGCCATTCACATGTTGCACATTTCTCTTCGAGCTGGTTATCTATACCAGGATTTTATACTCCATCCGCCTGCTACTTATGAAGAAGCCCTCCGTAGAGTGACGGATTATGCTAACGCTGGTGAGGCCAATGCCGTCAAGAGATCGCAAGAGGTTGGCACGTCATCCCGAAAGCCTTCCGGTCGGGCGGATCATCGGTCGGGTGAAGATCATCCCCGACCCCGAACACGGCCGGGAGAGTTTATGGCCTTAAACCGATCTGCAGCGGAGGCCATGCAATACGCCCAGTCCTCTAATCTTATTCGTCTACCTCATCCCGGGCTGGATGGGAAGGATAAGTCGAAACATTGCGCTTATCATCGATGTGCTAGGCATGACACAGAGGAATACACGCATTTAAAGCAGCTGCTGGAAGATTTACTCCAATCGGGGAAGTTGGATAAGTGTGTTGGCAGGAGAGAAAAGAATAAAAAACCGGGTGAAAGAAAAGATCACAGACGGTCTCATCATCGTTCTGACCGATCGGATCAAGACCGAAGAGATCCCGATCCCCCGTCGGGTGGACGATCAACATCCAAAGACCATCTATGTTATATTTGGGGATTTGGAAGATGCTTCCCAGGCTCGGGAAAGTTGCCCGGTCGCGATCGTCGACTCCCGGGAAACCGGTAAGAGGCAAAAGATAGAACTAATAACCTTCTCTCTTAAAGACCAGCCGGAAAGTGGAGACAATGGGATGGAATCCCTTGTTGTCACGATTGATATTATGGAAACCGATGTCCAAAGAGTAATGGTGGACAACCGGAGCAGTGTGAACGTCCTTTATTTGGACGTGTTTGGGAAGCTAAAATTGGACAAGCGAGAGCTGATTCAGGTCGGCATGCCCTTGTTAGGATTTACCGGGACTACCATTCGCCCTGAGGGAAAAATCGTGCTCCCGGTTGAGCTTGGAACCCCACCAAGATCAATAAAGACAGAGTTGGAATTTGTGGTGGTCAACCTTCATTGTGTTCACAATGTCATCTTGGGCCGACCGACCATTATGAGGATCGGCGGGATCATATCAATGCCTCACTTATGCATGAAGTTCCCAACCCTGGCCGGTGTTGGAGTTTTACGAGGTGACGTGCAATCGGCGAGAAAATGTTAATCCCGGGCCGTCAATCGGCGTGATGCCAGTTCTTCGGAAGCTGTCAAAGATCAGAAGGAACAACCCGAGCCCTCTGAGGAAATAGAGGAGGTTCCTTTGTAAGGAGCGACCAGAGAGGAAGATAAAGATCGGTCGGGCCCTCACCCCTGAATTACGACTGGAAGTGTTGGCGATCCTCCGGGAATTCGCTGATATATTTGCATGGGGGCCTGAAGATATGCCTGGGATTGACCGAACTGTAATCTGCCACAAGTTAGCTGTAGATCCCGCGACTAAACCGGTCGTTCAAAAGACTCGGCATTTATCCTCCGATCGCCGAGAGTTCGTTCGAGATGAGGTGAAGAAAATGGCTGCAATTGGGCACATCCGCCCGGTCACTTATCCTGAGTGGGTGGCCAACATTGTACTCGTTCCAAAGCCTCTGTCCTGGAGGATGTGCATTGACTTCACCGACTTGAACAAAGCATGCCTGCTAGATCCTTACCCATTGCCGAGCATCCACCAGATGGTTGACATGACGAAACGGTCGGGGCTGAGCTGATGAGCTTCATGGACGCTTTCAAAGGTTATCATCAAATCATGATGAACCATGGAGATGAGAGTAAGACGGCCTTTGTCACGCCTAACGGGTTGTATTGTTACCGGTTATGCCGTTCGGCCTCCGAAATGCAGGAGCGACTTATCAGCGAATGATCAATATGCTCTTTGAGGACCTACTAGGCTAAACGATGGAAGCTTAAATCGACGATATGCTAGTGAAGAGTCGGGACCCAGCAGATCATACTCGGGATCTCCGACAGTGCTTTCAAATCATGCGGAAGTACCAGCTACGTTTGAATCCTAACAAGTGCACGTTTGCTGTGCAAACGGTAAAATTTCTTGGCTACATGATGACGAAGAGAGGGATCGAGCCAAACCCCGCCAAGGTCAAAGCAATTCTTGACATGCAGCCACCCACGACCGTTCGGGAGGTGCAATAGTTGACCGGGCGAGTGGCAGCCCTGAGCCGATTTCTTTCAAAGTTGGCCGAGCGCGCTTTACCGTTCTGATAGTACTAATTCCACGTAGTGTGGTCAAAGTAATAATACGACCAGGTTAAAACAAGTAAAACTTTTATTGATCGTGTAAAAGGACTTAATACAATCTAAGTGGCTATTCCGAGGGCCGACTGACTGCGGTCGGGATGCTCTGTAAATAGCCTATCGATCGTTCCAAAAGTCCTTCACACTGTTGCCGCCGTGGGTATTTATAGCCGCTAGGCCGGAGACACAGCTCCGGCCGGCCAGAATGTAACCCACGTAGCAACCACGTGTCTTCACCCCGCGAGCCCTGCCTGTCAACGCGCAACGCTGCCACATGCCTCTTCTCGGCTCTCTCGTCTAAGGACTATCGATCGGGAGTTGAAGACGTTAGTCGGGTGATGCGCCGGTCGGGAACGACCGGGTTCTTCCAAGAATATCCGACCTGTAACCTGCATAAACAAGAATAAAACACGTGGCCAATAGCCCCCCACCCCGGGCCTTTTTAACTGCCTGGGAAAAAATGGGATGGAATGAAAAAGTCCAATCAACCGCCGCCAAACCCGACCGGACAACTGGCATTCTGTCGTGCCACGTGTCAGCTTCTGCGCGCCTCGGAGTCCGGATCGGTCACCACGCGAAAGTGGGCCGTTTCCCGTCCAAAAGTTCTCTTATAAATAGGCCCTTCTGAAATTCATTTGAACTTCTACCAACCCTCTCAATCGATCGGAGCATCCCGAGCGAGCAACTTCAAGAGTCGGTCGAGCAACCTGAACTTCAGCATTCTCCGCTAACTGCAATCACTCGGTAAGTCTCTTTCCTTTAGCTTTTTACTTTTTTGCTTTATATTACCTCCCAATGGCCAACTACGGACCTTAACTGACCACGACCGGGTCGTACCCGACCTTAACAATATCCCGAGCGCTTTCTAGGAAGACAGCATGTCAGATACAGATAGTCATAATATCTCGGGCGCGGACTACGATGACGCGGTCGAGAAACTGAGCGAAGAAATAGATGTCAAGGCATCTTCACCAGAGGTCATTCAAAGACCACCAAGAGCCTCCGAGCGACAAAGGTCGTCTAGCTCGGAGGGGTCATCTAGCTCGAGCGGATCGAGCAGCGGAAGCGACGAGGCTACAACGAGCGAAAAACGCTCCTCGACCGAAGCTGCCCGGGAAACGCCGACTCGGGTAATTGGGGATTGCCCTCAGGCAGCACCTCCGACTGATGATCGGGAGGCCACACAAGAGCCGGCCGCGGAAGACCCGGCTGCCCCGCCCGCACCGGCCGATGGCGAGTTCGTATTTTTGAACAGCGAGAGCGTCGAGCAGCAAGAGAGCCTGCTGACGTCGGGGGAAACGGCGAGAATTTCTACCATGCTCACCGGTCGGGTCCGTTTCGACACCCGCCGGAGTCTGGGAAACATCATCGAGCGCCACGAAGGCAAATAGATCGGGATGCACTACGACTCACTCCAAGCACCGATCCAGTTCCCCTTCTCCGCTCTCTTGACCGCGTTTTTGGGCTACTACCGAGTGGCCCCGGCCCAGATATGCCCGAACGCGCATAGGATTTTGGCTTGCTTTCCGCAAATCTGCGCTCGGCACAAGGTCGCGTGCACGATGGAGTTGTTCAACTTCATCTACCAGGTGAAGACCCTACCGGCCAAGTACGGAGGCGGATTCCTGATGATCCAGTCCCGGACGGACCTGTGCACAATCGAGCACCTGCCCGGGAACAACAAGGGTTGGAAAAACAGGATCTTCTCGGTCGAGTACGACCCGTGGATCCTCCTGGTCGAGAGGACGTGGAGTACTCACTATAGGAAGCAAGTTACGCCGGTCGAGACAAAGGCCCTTCAGGATGCCGTCTCCAAGATCTCGAGCGAGATCCATGAATAAAAGATCTTCTGCTCGAGAGAGAGCTATGATGAGGCCCGACTGCCACCGCCGCGGTACGATCTTGAAGAAAAGTACGTGCCCGAGCCAACGGGCGTGACGATTGCGATGTGGCCGAACGAAGCGATGCTGTGAAGAAGTAGTCTAGGTCGTGTAGATTCCGATCGTGTATTTTACTTCTTCGTTTTTGTTAAGTGAACTCCATCGGGAGCCCGATCCCGACCTGTACCGGGAACATTTTGATTTATGAAATTAAGTTTTCTTCTTTCAACTTGACTTGTCCGGTTTTTACTTCTTATGCATTTACTTTTGTTTGTTTGTGTGCCGGTCGTCCTTTGCCCGACCATTCGGCCTAATGGCTTGGTCGATCGTGTCCCGACCTAATGGCCTTTTGACCTTTCGAAAACTCGAAAAACTTTTTTGGCCTGTTCGTTTGGGGTTTTCCTGATCGCCTGGCCTTGTGATTTCCTTCCTTAACCCTAGCCCCCACACTGTTGTGCACACAAGGCACGAGTGAGTGCGACAGTGGAAAGAAGTTGGACGGATCGGGGAGTTTTTGATGGAGCTCTGGTTTCCCCGATCGATGGCGTGACCCGAGCGTCCGCCGAAGATGAGCGCTATAGTCGGTCGTTAGAATTTGACCGGCCATGTGGTAGTTGACTATTAAAGCCAATTAGGTAGATGGCTATCAGAGCCGATTAGCTGTACACCCCTATCGGTCGGGACCGAGGGAGAGGTGTTGTATGGGGCGAAACGCCCCTCTTCATTTGCTGATGTCGAGTCTCGATCGGGTAGATTTCGAGCACGACTGGTTGGGGAAGCAGATTTAGAACAACCTACTTCATGCTTAAACAATAAAAATAACCGATCAGGCCGTCGTATGCAAATGGTCGAGCAATCACCGGTCGTATATACATTAATAACTCCCGTTCGCAGACGGTTAACAATTTACAAATATACAAGTGATAAACGATGGATGGGCCCACTCGCAGGTCTAAGCCCCCACTCCATCTATAATTACCAAGGTTGCAAAAATCGCGCCTAGGCGCTAGGAGGCCGCCGCGAGGAATGGCCTCGGCGGCCTCCTACGCGGCCAGCCGGCTAGGCGGCCGCCTAGACCGCCTAACCGGCAGGTTCGGCGGTTCGGCGATTTTCTTTTTTTTTTAAATGTCGAAAAAGTTTCGGAAGGCATAACTTTTGACTCGGTTGTCCGATTCGGTCAATTTTTTTTCAAAGGCGGTTTGGTCCACTAATTTCTCAAAAAAATGCTTCTTTAGCTCTTAATTTTAGTTTTTTTTTTTTTTTTTTTTTTTTTTTTTTTTTTTTTTTATGTATTTAGATGGTTTAAACAATCTTTTGAACAATCTTACAACCACTTTTGTAAATAGTTTCTAAGAAATAACTATGAAAACCTTATGTTTTAGTACTAAATTTTGAAAATTTTTAATTTAAATTTATTTAATTAAAAAAAATAAAAAAAATAAAAAAAATAAAAAAAGATAAAAAATCGGCGCCTAACGTTTTTTGCAACATTGATAATTACAAAGCTAATGCCTAAACAGTACGAGGTGCTCGGAGTTCCACGTGCCGTCGATCTGTCTCCCGGTCGTTGTCTCCAACCGGTAAGTTCTCGGCCGCACGACGGCTGTGACGATATACGGACCTTCCCAATTTTGAGCTAGCTTTCCACCTTCTAAAGGCTAACTTGCCTCTTGACGGTGTAGAACATAGTCTCCGACTTGGAAATACCGAGGGTTGACCCGAACATCCTTCGAGCTCCTCAATCTTTTCTGATACTCGGACATACGCCGAGCGGCCAGTTCTCTCTTCTCTTCGACCCCATCGAGATGCACGACCATAGAGTGTTCATTTTCCTCAGCGTTGTAAGATCGCTACCTAGCGGTCGGGATCCATGCCTTGATCGGGAGTCGAGCCTCGGCCCCGTAGACTAGGGCGAACGGCGTCTCTAAAGTTGCCTCCCTCGGGGTTGTCCGATAAGTCCAGAGAACATAAGGGTGCTCATCGGCCCAACTACGACCCGCAGATTGCAACTTCTTCTTCAGACCTTCCAGGATTGTCC